CCATCCTCGCGGCGATCTCTAGGATCGCAACCCCCGCCTGTGCGTCTCTGCGACAGCTTTAGACAATTCCTCGATCGCGGTAGCACCCACAAGATCGGTCATCGTTCACGATTCCACGAGTTTCGCTCCGGCGAAGAAACCATACGCGGAACGGTGTTATGATCCCACCGAGGCAGAAGACGTTTTCGGAGCAAAAGGAGATCGGTCGCGAAGTCAGTGTTTCGTAAGTGATCGTGGATTGGACGATGAATCGACCAGTGACAACCAGTTGTTCGATAGAGGATAAAGGAAAGAACGTGTGATTTGAACGCGGAGAGAAGGCTGAAAGTGCGATTTTAACGATTATACGGTGTGCGTGTATGCTACGGTTCGCTCGACACCCGTGGGAAGCTGTACGAATCACGGATTAATGCACGCCGGAAATCACAGCATGGAGGACATGGTGAGCTCATTGTATCCTCTTAATTATATTTTGCTCGCATAGGCCGATAATATCGATGAAAACTCGCGCGCATAACGGGCGAACGCGCGTTCGCAGGTTCTTTCTCGCGTCAAGAACTACCTAGCCACCCCTTCTAAACGTCGTAAACGTTGTAATCACAGGTTCCGCGAAAATGATGGACGATCGTTGAACGCCGCGATAGTTTGTAATTACAAGACGAAAAGCGTGTACACGCATATGTAAGGCGGCGGCAGGTACGCGCTTCGAATCGAACCGTGTAATTATACGAAAACAAATATCGTTACGTGGCCATCTTCGATGTTACGAGTCGCTGAATTATATAGAACCGCGAGTTGTGAAATGTTGTGATACATTGACAGTACACGTGCAATTTTCACGTTATTATATTTCGTTACGCTTTTTGCATATCAACCGCCGTTTACCCCGACGATGAGCCATACCTTTTACGACGTTTCAATAATGACGGCATGCGCATAGCGATTGTCGCGACAGCTTCACAATTTATGCAAAAAATTTCGCTTATACTTCGTATGCAAACTACTCTTCGCTCTCTCGATGTCACGTGTCTTTCAAAACACGCGTCAGCGTTTTTTATTTATAGTGACAATAAACCTACGTACGTTCGACTATCCTTACTAATTAATTCAACTAACGTGACTCGATATACAATTGAGCTAAAAGTAACTTTACCGCCCTTCAACTTCGAGTTGTCTCGGGTGTAACTCGTTATGAAACAGAACATTAAATCTTAATCCGAATCAGTTTATCGACGTACGATTCTACCTCGAAACACGTTTTATCGCCACTTTCATATTATGTGATTCATACTGCGTGCGTTAAGCATAAAGTAACACCATCTTGAATAAGCCAAGTAGCGCTTAGAAAGAAGCTATAGTGGCGCCTAGTAGCAGTGCAGTGTTTCTCAACCTATCATTTTCAGATTCACATAAAATGAACACTAAGTAGGGTGTACTTCAAACTTGTCACTGTACTTGCATTTGAACCACGATGCTGACTATACTATAATTGACAACAATTTTTTGAAAAGTAGCTAATTTATGAAAACAATTTATGACCTTCGATAAAAATGTGAACCTTTTCAAGAGTCACGATCGTTAAATCCATGACCTAAGTTAACTGTCAAACATTGAAAGACTATCGACACAAATGCAGTAAAACTCGTTCTCCGAAACGAAAGTGGAACGAAAGTGTTCGGCAAACGAGACCAGGAGATAAACGTAGCAAGATGAATCTCACGCTGAAATCGCACGTGGGAACCGGCGAATTAATGTTATACGTAAGAAAGATGGCACAGAGTACCTGCCAGAAGTACTCTAGATGGATGAGCGTCGACGCGTGTGACAGCCGGCGTATTAAGACGGCGACAGACAAATTTCCGAATCGAGCTCGCAAAAAACCCCGAGACTTTTCGTCCGCGGGACGAAGGATCGTCGGTGGCTCGTTACGCCCCGCTCGATTAGTCTTCCGCTCGACTCCGCTCGCCGGCTACACGTGCAAGCTACCCGCGTACGCGTAAATTCATTAAAACCGGTTCATTTAATAGGCCCCGCGCATTACGCGATCGCTGAAATTTCGAGCGGAAAGGGGACGAAAGGCGATCACTTTTTTCATCCTGTTACACGCACCAGTTGTCAAGACGAAAAATGAATTACTTCATACTTTTTCTACTTATAAATCGCGCGAATATTTTTCTGCCAGCTGCAAAGCGAAAGCAAGCTTTTTATTAAATTGAACGGACCTCTTTTATAATAATTTTGTACATAATTTAAAATGCAATTAAAATTTCGAAGTGCAATGAGACTGCTTGTGGAACACAAGGGATGTTGAAGTATTATAACACTGTCAAGCGTGACAATCCCAGACATGAAAGCCTCGAGCCTCTCGTGTCAACTTCATTAGTTATCGCGTACACTTTGACACACAGACGCTGGAACTATGTACGATCTACTTGACCAGCAGAACTTCTAATAAAGATCAAACGCGGTCGTTCACACGCTAGCTACCCTCTTTAAAGCCAGCATCACGCTCCAGCGTTTCTCCACTTAAAACCATTACAATCGCGCGACTCCAGAAACAAATTGAATCGTAGAAGATATCCCACGAGCGGGTCGAATCGTCGAAGAACGAGAGCCGAGGGAGAGCGTGTTCGAGCGCGTTATCAGTCTCTAATTTCCGAGGGAAGATCGCGGCGAGGACGGAGCGTCGAACCGGCATCGTTTCACGGGGGTAACGATCCTCGAGATCTCATTTACGGTACAAATTAGTCGTAGTCCGGTCCTCGGTCGTTAATGGTCGGTCGGCACGCAAAGAGGTTAGCTTTAATGAAGACCACGCTTTATCCGTGACGAAGCTTGTCCAGGTCCGTGGCCGCGTCGACTACGCGGTCGTATTTTCGCGGGCGAACGTACGTTGAATGCGAGTTAAACGAAGATTTATGCCAGCACGCGTAAATATAAACAACAATGTGCAATCCCGGCTACATTGTGCAGGAAGAACGAACCGCGAGAGACCAATGCGAACTAATAAACGTGAACACCTCTGGCTTAGCTGCTGGATGCTCCATTTGTCAAAAATGTTTAACGTTAAAGGGGTGAAATTGTTAAACAAACGTCGAAAGATTTCGAAAATCTTATTTCGACAAAATTATCTTTAGTTCGAAAGCTCATTGTTCGAGGCAATTGTCATGAATCTTACACAAATATAGTTAGTCCAGAGACGTTGCTCGCAGAAACCCGCGTAACCTCCCACGTTACAAGCGGAAAGACTCGATTAGCGGAAACCGCGATCGCTTAATGGTCGTTTCTTGCCCTAACATCGCGATCTCTATCCTCGCCTCGAGTTTTCTCGTGCATGCGCCTCAGGAATGGCGAACACACAACGAAATTCGTAGCCGCGGGCCACGATCGTCCCTAACGCGCCATGAAATTGCAAGAACTCGAGTCGCTCGATGGAAATTACAGTCGAACGCGTTGAACGTTTCGATCCCGGTGAACTTCAATGACACCGTTGCCCTCCTCGGTAATGACACTATTTTCGAGATATTAATCATGGCGTCGAAGCGAGACGAATCTTCTGTCCGCGATGAACTCCGCTCGATGTTTTATACCGTGCCTCTTCTATGTAATTTAACCGTTTAAAGACCGGCTCTTAACGGGTGCGACACACCCCCTCTCGGTTCCACACCACCGAGTTACTTTTTTATCATACCAGAATTATGGTATACGCCGTACATAATTATAGCATGGATGCGAGTCTGTGACATTTGCGATGATTTTGCATTTGGTTAACTCTTATTTTCTTGCCGGACATTTTATCCAAAAACGAAGAAATTCAGTGCCATGTGGAAATGAAGCATTAAAGTCTTCTAGCAAAACAAGGTTACATTAGTGAAACAGAAGCAACAAATATCTAGAACGTTAGTCCACTTTTTAAGACGTATTTAAAGATCTATCAACGTGAATAAGTTTAGTTTGATCGATCTTTAAATTAGAATGCTATTAAATTTTGATCCCCAAGGGGTTTCGTTGTGTATAGCATGCACAAAAAGAAGATTACGCTAATGAACCTTAAAATTCACTCGCTAGAATAATCGCTCCTCTAGAATTACGTATTCCGATCATAATTTCAAAGACACCGCGGCTTCTTCATGCCCCGATGCAAAAAGGTTGATGATAGGCTATCGGCTGAAAAATTACGAGCCGCGTTTAAAAGACAAACTTGCAAATGGCACAGATAATGACAAGATAACATTGCGCGTTCAAACAACCGGCTCCGAGTTGCTCGTTTCCCTTCTTGGTAATGCACGGTATAATGTTTCCATGAATTGAGACATTAGTTTCAGTGAAACGAACGATCGCGATACACCCGTGGCACACGGCTAACTTTTCCACGAGTACACACGAGAAAAGCTGGTGCCTTTGATGACTACCCTCGGGTACATAAGCGCGTACGCGCGTCGTCTCCTCGAAGGCAATTTTCACCGGCTGACTGACCTACCTGCTTATGTTTGCCGCGCGATCAACGATGCCTATCCTTGGCACAGCATTTATATCACGGTGGGCAGACGCAGAGGCGTACGCAATATTTCGCCTGTCCGCGAGTAGCTTTCATGAGAATACAGCTATCAGTGAATTGCCGTCGTGAAAATTACGAATATCGTGGCTCGTATATCATCGGGTTTATTTTACGTACACCACGGAAATTTATCGGTCGTGTATGAGTTAATTCTTCGCCGGGACAGCGTGAATCTTCCTTTTTGCACACTGTGGGAGACGGAACTTTTTCCTTGCAATCCTCTCTACGACTTTATAACATTCGTCTACGAACACAAATATTTATACAGTCGACTGTTTGAATCCCCAAAAGCGCATTTGATTACTTTCACATCTATTTTTGTAGCTACTCTAAACTTTGTGTCTGAACTTGTGATCTAAACCAATCTATCGCTAATTCTTTTAACCCTTTGCACTCCTATGTCGAGTGTAGCTTGACATCACATTTCTTTTGGACCTTATGAATAATTCAGATAAATAGATTGGTTGAATTGTATATTTTCATTTATATACTATTTATAGTAAATGAAAAATGTATTTGTCACATACTTTGTTACAATGTATTTTACTGAGAACCCCATTTTTTATCTATTTATATATAACAGAAATTATGGAGTGTAAAGGGAATCGAACGACGACAAACATAACTTTATTAAATTCTATTGTCGATATAAATTGCCATCACCCCTTCCGACGTTGCAACCAGCCATTATAAATATTGATCAATCGGGTTCATTTCCGTTCAGAAACCGGCAACCCCTCGATGAGAAACACGCAGCTGCTTCTCGAACCGCGACGAAAAAGCGCTCGTGGAAAGCTCGCAGACTCGATTTCTCGAGCGTGTGGACACGCGCGGCTGCATCGCGGGGAACGAAGCAGATGCGTAGAAAATTCGTGTGATTGGGG